GGGTTACCTCCTAAATTGCACCATCCCTAATTTTACAATATTTTTCTCCTTCAGTGACCCAACTGATTTATTAAGAGCTGATATTTAGAATTTTATGGTATTTTTTGTGTGAAATTGTAATAACCTCTTTTCTTTTTAAGGACCCCAAGCAGACAAACCATTTCGATTGCCGCTTAAGATCCTTATTGACCTACAACCAAGGAATAACGAAGCTTTGGCAACTGTCCAATGTTTGGCACACAACCCTAGGCTAAGGTAAGCTGTATCTTATTATTTTATTTTAATTTAATTTGTTTTCAGCTCGGGAGTGAAGTTGTTTTGGTCATGAGAATAACTGCTGTTACCGTAACAGGAATTGAACCTAGGACAGGTCCGAATGAATGCCTTTGGAAGTTTCCAGAAGAGAAGTATTCAAGGAAATCACAAGGCCTGAACATCATGTATTGTGGTTGTCCAGAACTGTGCTACTGTATATGCCCACCTCCTATAAAGTGATACATACAACATCGTATACTTCAAACTTCTAAAAGCATTTTCAATAATATTGGATCATGGACCTATTAATTGGTCTGTGATTGGCCCTTTTATAAATAGATTTGCATATTTGTAATTGGAATAATGAATATTCATGAACATTTTTGTTTAAATGCAGGATTGCAGTACCTGTACAAAAAGATGTGAAGAGTGTGATTGACTATCTGACATCCAAGTGGACACCACACAGCATAAAGCTGGTATCCTTTTATAATAAATAATAACCCTTGTAGAGAGCAGCTTAGCTTAGTTGGCTAAACTAGTGGTAGCCACTGTGTGTGCGCTGAACCATGGAGATCCTTTGGTCTGGTTCAGTTGCATCGCTGCCTCTCCTTGTGTTTTAGCTGGAGGTCTGAAAGTCAATTTACAATAGCGCACCATCTTTTTTGGATGAGGCACTTTAAGCTGTCGCTGAACCCATGTGAATATGGCCCGTGTGTATGTTACAGAATGTAGTTTACTCTTCGATTGGGATTGTCTCACAGTGTACTGTCCGGTCCAACTCCAGAAGGACCCCTTTGGAATAAAAGTCTATATACTTGGTGGGTTATCCTTGGTTTAATTGACATCATAATTAATACTTTATGGTATGCCAATTAAAAAATGTTGCCAAAGAATTTTAAAACAACTAAAAATAGGTGGTCAGGATGTGATATAATCATCACCATATTTAAGCATTCCAAATCAAATTTGAGGACTTAAGTTGAAAAATTATTTTATTCATTTAATTGAGTGTTTTTTGCAGATGTTGCCATAAAAACACTATCTTCAAAAGTAAATAAATATTACCAACATATACTGACCTCTCTTGTAATCTTTAACTAAGTATTTTCAGCTACAGACTTTGAAACCCACTGATAAGGATCATAGAACAAATGTTGTCTTACGATTACCCCCTAATCTGGACATCACCCCCTATGAGGAGGTGAAGGGAAAATTTATTCACTGGAGTGCTAAAACACCATTCACAATGGGGCAAGGATTAAACTCTAGTAACAGCAAAAACTCTCAATCGAACTCATCAAGTCCGCAGTCTACGGCAAAATTAAAACTACAGCCGAGTAAAACGTTACCGGTTGAAGCAACATCTGTAAAAAGTGACGCTAAAGGGAAAGTAAAAGAAAATGCGATTGTTAACAATGGAGCACAGAAAAAAGACGATACAGAGAACTTGGCAACTGATTTTGGTAACAGGTTACCTGATATCTCAATGATTCAGACCGAAGTTTGCGGTCAATTTGGAGAAACGCACAGCGAGACTCTCTTAGGTTTGGACGCAAATACTGATTCTGACATTTTACTAAAATGCACAGAGTTGTCGTTAGGAAATTCAAATGATTCATCTTCTTTGGGAAATGTTGAAAACACTGAGCCCTCTGTGGCACAATTGAGTGCAGTGGAGAATGAAACAAGATGTAAACAAACTAAAGACTCTTGCTTGAGAAATGGACTAACTTTAGAGAATGCAGATGATATTAGTATTACAGATTTATATTTAATGGTAACTATTCTTTATATTTGATTTGTTTAGTAAGCATTATTTCATTCTTAAATGCACATACCCTATCCAAGTTATTTATCTTCGGGTAGAACCTAGTGACTCAGATACTACAACCTAATAATAGATAATGATATCATTTAAACCTAATACATTTGTATTGTATAAAACCTGCCAGTGGCAGATTTCCCCACCCCTAATATTTCAAAATTATAAAAAAATTGAGGAAAAAAAAAAAATTATATTCAATTTCAAACGTAAGGGTGCCATATCCAGCCACCTACAGGTGCCATAATCATACATTTTGTGTGTTTGTGAGATGGACATGTATTCCTGGCCTATTGGTACTAAATAACACATTCTGGTCCATTCGTCCATTAGTGTAATGTTGCGAGTATGTTGTGCTTGAATTAGAATAAGTATTTAAAAAAACTTTAATCCCCTGTTATTGTTACCCCCTATTTATATTAATTTTAGTTTTTTTTTGCTCCAAAGTTAGGGATGCCACCTCGGTTAAAGTTTGAGTACGAGTTTGCCAACAAGTCAGTTCCAAAAGCAGATAACACCTTGAACACTCTACAGAAGTTAGTCCATCTTGCGAAAACTCAGTTAACGAACACTACAGCTCAAAAACAAAAGGTACATTCTTTTTTCTATTTTGTGTTTTTCACAGGTCTTTGAATTTGAATGTGAAACTAGCCTTTGTGTTAAGGCGTGGGCTGTCAGAGTGGTTTAGAGTGAATGCATTTGTATCCCTGAAGATTTAAATATGGTGAAAGGAAGTCCATCACTCATTGTTATGCGCCTCCTGCTTGTGTGTTCAGTCGGATAAAATTATAAACCGTATGCCCAGTGTACACTTTGGCTTACGTGCATGATAAAGAACCCAGTACATCATTCGAGACAAGTAGGGCGATACCCCGGTGTACTGGTACAAACGGCCGATGTTGTGGACGGCGAGAATTGCACCGGGTTACTGAGTAGCAAGACATGAAGGGACCCTTGGGGGGAAGAAAGTCATTGATCAAGTTTCTAGTCCACATATCCAAGCACTTTGTATCCATTCACAAAAAGCGCTACAGTTATATAACTGTCTATATTTAGATTTCAGCGTGTCATGTTGTGTGCATGCTCATGTTGTCATGCCTGAACAATACTTTTTTGCACATGCTTTGATGTGGCTATAGGTTTTAGTGAATTACAATATAACATGAATGTCAGTGTTATTCGTAATGTGATTTAGAATTTCATTAGACAATAATAACAATGGCTTCTATAATGCAACGATCAATAATGCAAACTACATAAATTTAGTGCCTTTTCAAAATGATTAGCTCTGCTGAATGGATCATCATAGTGCAATTTGTTTGCCCATGTACTGTATGGCAGACTGCCAATCGTACCGATTTACAGTAATAGGAATCGTCCCGATTTCCGATGTTGAAAAAAACTCCAAAAAATCTGGACGTATCTGTGTTTAGAATTTCAACAGGACTTTTACTAAATGAGATTTAACAATAACTCAAAACATGCTCAAAACAGCCTATCGGTAAAATCAAACGATGTGTGCTTTTCGGCGGAGCATTGCTTTTTTACTAGCGTACAGTAGGTGATGAGTTAGCTATTTTGGGATTTTATGGGTCCATGGGGACCAGTTATACTTCATAGAATAGCTTTTAGATTAATTGATATGGGTTTTACGTTGGATGCGTTTGATGAAGTTTAGTTTTAGTTTGACTGTAAATGGTACATAACATTGAAAACTCGGAAAGACAGGCCTACTGTAGCTGCGTGGCTATAAACAATACTGTGCGGTTGAAAGGTCAACCCACGATTCCATGATGAGGTCAACAAGCAATGCATTTCAATGCTGTACAATACAACGTAACCCTCTACAATAGTTAATTAATCGTAGCAAATACGGCAAGCGACTCATTAAACTATCCCTGGGAAAACTTGCCTGCACGGTAAGCAGTAAGCACAAAGGTTTATTCTACGATGCACTATGGCCCAGATATTTTTCGTAGCATGCAATACAGTAGTGTAATATATATTGGTCAGCATTTAAAGCTATACTAGCTAGGATTGCTACGTTGGTTTGTGTTTTTAAAGTTTGAGATTGTTGTAAATGTGGGACTAGCTAGCTAGTCATGGGTCATTCAATAAAACTATCCTCTATCTTCCTTTCACAAAGTTTCACAATATGTTACACTACAATGTTTCAATGCGGAGTTATTTAGATTTAGGCAAGGTTATCTTAATTATTTAAATTAAAATCAACATAAAATATTCATTTTGTTTGGTAATATTTTAATTAAAAAAATCTTAGTGGTAATTGTGTATAATTATGATTTTATATACTTATTTTTCCATCATGGCATTTTTCTTAAAAAGCCATGACACACATGGAAGCCCTGGCCATTTTTTTTTTAACTGTAATATCTTCGTTGTCCCCTAAAATAACGGTAGGTTGTGAGGTAAATAAACAGTACATTTGAAAGTAAGTAACTATTGTTTTTTATTTAAAGCAACTGTACAGGAATAGGAATCTTACAAATTGTTTAGTGTGGGGGACGTGGCACCAATGAATCGCTTCCCTATTTTTGATATTTGAATGTTGGCAGGTATGCATGTAGTCATGGTGATGATGTGATGTCATGATGACCATATTTAGGCATGTCACATGTTTTTGTCAAATGATGTTTGATAGTCTGTTCAGGTTCAACACGTTGGCTGCCAGAGACGAGTATACTCGCCCACAGGGTGTTGCTGAGGGCGCCAGGAACGAGTATACTCGTCAAAAACGGGGGAACATTCTAGCGTTCTAGCACAGACTCAACGGCTGGTAGTTCGGGGAAGATACACCTAGACGATAACGTACAAATGACATATGTATGTTTGTTGTGTTATGTTGCCAGTAGTACAATCGAGCGGTACAAGTGGGGGCACCCTTTGAACATATACCAACCCATACAAAAAGAGGACGAGATAACTCGCCCTTGGCATAGTCAGTAAAAAGTTCTATCACAGTGCCATCGACGAGTATACTCGCCCCCTAATATTTTCCCGCCAATTTATTAGACACGTCATTTTGATATACTGTATGACTAGATAAAGTTTCAAAAAAGTATGTTTGTACATGTAAACTTGTTTTGGCACACGGGAAGAAACCGTAAAAAAAGGTCTGGCAGTCAACGTGTTAAGTTACAATAATTGTTAAATTATTAATTATATTTTGCTCTTTAGATGGTGTCTGTTGGGACAGTCACTTCACCTGTGCGTGGCATTCAACCAGCAGCTAACTCTGCTACCAATAGAGTTGGTGTTACTCCCAGCCGGAGTAAGAGTGACGTCGCCGCTGCTCCAGGATCGAACAAAGAAATATTTCGCATCGCGGGAGCGGTTGGCAACGGAAACCTTAATGTGCCAAATGGGTCCATAGTTGACATTGACAAGGGGGTGTTTGTGACGCCGAAAGCGTCATTCGCTCCCTCAGTACTGAAATCACAGGCACAGGAAAAATTATTTATGCAACAACTCCGTTTTATACATGTAAGTACATAGTTGTTTGGAGATTGTTTATGAAATATATACTGTGTTAAGCAAAATCGGAAAATCCATGCTCAGTGCCTAAGTAAGTTATTAACTTCAATTAAGATAAGTTATCAACTTTAACTGTGGTGGGGCTGAGGTGGTATATACCCTCCATCTGTAAAAGTCTCTCCCTAGGCCGCCTGTATTTTGAATTCTTGAACCCACCATTGAGAATAGAACACCTACAGAGTGAAAGGCTCTTGTGAATAAGTGTGGAGAAATAAATTAAACAAACAAACAAACAAATAAGTAAAGATTATTATTATTGTACTATATTTAGTAGGATGTTAGGATATGTGTCAATTTTGAGTAATGCTTAGCTAGTAAATCTCTTATTTGTATTTTGACAGAGACAGTCGATCAATCAAAGAAAAGGACGAAAATCAAGACCACCCATTGTTGTCCAGGTAACAACTTTATCTCCTTGTCTTCCAAAATATATGTAAAATATGATATTTGGTAAAACCAACATAACTATTCTATACGTCAGGGGTGGGCATAAAAATCAGTTGGAGGGCCAAAGTGAATTTTATATTTACTGTAACACCGAGTGCCGCACCCAAATTTTAATGTTGGTGTTCTTCCAAAAACCTTCATGCACTGCTTTTATACGACTTCATTCCAGGTTTGAACATAACTTTTTACAGCTAATCTGTATCAGGCCGTCAAAAACCAAGGTGTTTTCTTTTCAAAAATATTAAGCGGGCCTGACATTTGGGCGGCACGCGGCCCATTGGCTGTACTTAGCCCACCTGTGCTATGCGTAGTATGGGAAAATATATTGAAATGAATTCTTTTTGGCATGAAGCTCTAGGGGTAGCAAAAGGAGTGTTTGATTGGTTGATTGATTGGTTGGTTGGTTCTAAGCCAGTGTTCATAGGCTACATGTACCCAATGATAAAATATAGTGTGTTAAGGCAGGCACTGATTGCGTTATTCGACTGTCGCATGACAAAGCAAACTCGGCTTTCTGTGAGCACTAGACGACACACATTCGCTGTATGCTGAAAGCCAGTGGCAGTCTAAACGGATCATCATTAAAAACGAACCATTGCGTGAGCATTGTCGCGTTGCGTTCTTCATAGAAGCGCAAGCTTCCCCAGCTTAACACCTTGCCAATGAACAGTACAAAATCTGGTATCTCTTATTTTATTTTATTGTTTTTAATGGTTCACTTAAGTTTTTATTTATTTCTAAATTTCTATCTCTGCAGCGCCACCTTTTGCCAAGAATACAATCATCTGGTCCGATACGCAACATGATGTCTTTGTCGACATCAACAGGAAAGTTTACACCAGTGGACGCCAGCTCCCTAAACAGCGTAGACCCTGTCTCTTATACACAACTGTAATTGTGTATAATTATGATTTTATATACTTATTGTATGTTGGCCACTCTGATTATGAAAATTAGGGGTCATAACAACACCTGATATATAAAATTGTAAAAATTGAAAGGACTTTAATTATTAACTGACTTAGATAGAATATAACTTATCAACAGTATTAATTTGTGGGTACACATGTTGGCCTCTCTGATTATGAAAATTAAGGGTCATTACAACACCTGATAGATAAAATCGTCACAATTTAAGGCGCTTAATTAGTAACAGACTTAGCATATAACTTATCAACAGTACTAATTTGTGGTACACCATGTAAACAGTTTTTGATTTCTTTAAAATTTAGGTGATGCCGATTGTTGCAGCGCCTTCTACTCCTTGTCCAATTGTAGCCATCCCGGTGACAACGAACCAGGTTTATGCTCAGCAAGCGCCACCGGTAACCTCTGTTGCTGCCACGCCACCACAGAACAAGACCTGCGATAGTAGTGTGCTATCGACGCCCAGCCCTCCAAGTAATGATGTCAGTTCCACAGACAGTCACGCCAAGGATGGCCAATCATCTTTTAGGCTTTCACCACCACCAAATCTGTCCTCAATCTTAGATATATCCCTACCATCTGCTGATGCCCCTGAGGACACCAGTATTGGAGGCGAGTCACTTATCGCCATGGCAATGGATACTGCTGGTCTAACAGGTAAGGTTTACCACCCAGTCTAACAGGTAAAGTTTACACACCCAGTTCACAGAAGACAAAATATTACAATAGATTTGAGCTGCGTGACAAAATTTATACAAAAATATGAAAACTAAGTTATTGATATACAAAAACATTGATTTGAAGATGTGGGCTTTTTTTCCCCATGGGCTCCTTCTCGAGGCTTGTTTGCAAGGTAAGGGGGTGGGGCCTGTTTTCAAAATGAATGCTGTAAATTTTGGGAATTACTATTATAAAACAATAAATAGGGCCACCGTAGTAACATTAGTCTGTGTGAAGCATTGAAACCCAATTTTTGTCAAAATTTCACTTTAGGGGCGGATTGCTATTAAACGGTCTTAACTGGTAATTGGTTTATCACTTAAAGGGTCTTACTAAAGTCACTCCAGTAAGACTAATCACTCCCTGGTAACATGACATTAAGGCACTGTTACACATTACAAAATCAAATCATCATTTTCATTGTGAATAATATTCACAATATTCATAATAATAATATTCATAATATTCATTACTTCTACAAATTCCTATTATTACCGTACATGCAACTCAACAGATGTCTGTTTTATTTTTATATAACCTTTAACCTTTATTCTTTTTCATAGGAATTGATCAACCTTTGACATCTGAACCTAGTGAGACATCAACCCCAGGAAAACACGTCCAGAATAGCCAGCAAGAAAACAGGGAAGCTGGCACCTCAACACCTCCTCCCAGTACTGTTAGTCCAACCAGCTCACCATTTAAACAGCTAACCTCTGACTCTCATTGGCTAAACGGTGAAACAGTATGTGTAATACATGATTATTTATTGTTTGATTTTAATTATCACAAATTAAGGAGCAAGTTGGTGTTGATGCTGTTGCTGATTATCATGATAACTGTGATTTAAGATGATATTTATCATAATCATCAAAGTAATGATAACAATTTTATAAATATTTTCAATTTAAGTGAACCACTTTTAATTTATTAGATGGACTTGTCGTCACTTAGTGGATTTTTAAATGGCATCGAGTCACCGGAAAAGCGGGATAAAGCGGTTCCAACACTGAACAGTATCTGTCCTCTTCCTGTCATGTATTGTGAATCTTCCAGAGACTCTATTATGTCAACAAGTAATGTAAGTGTATGCCTAAATTTGATCATGATGACATAACATCTTGACCATATATGGCCTCATCATGACTATATGTGGCAAAGACAAGCCAAACCAGTCACTCGTCGCAATCAATTTTGAGTTATTAACATAGTGTTAAAGAGTAAAATAAAAGCTATAAAATGGTAAAAGAATCATTCAAATCGGACATTTCCTTATGAAGTTACAAGCGTTTAACCACATCGACGTTTAAAGAACAATATATGAGAAATCAGCCTTCAAAGTTTATGATTTCAGGCATTTCTCATGCAGAAACTATCTTCAAATCCTTAAAAAGTGTTGTTTTAACATTCAAAATGGGGAAAATAACAGCATAGAATGATATATAAAGGTTAGTTCAGTGAAATAAAATAGATTTTTAAACATTTGACATTCCAGCATGTTTTGGCCATTTTTCCTCAAACACGATTTCCGACGAGTGACTGGTTTGTCTTTGCCACATATATGGGTATAAAACTTTTATATACCCATATATGTGTCTTTGCCACATATATGCGTATATAACAGTTTTTGGTCAAAGAAAATTTTAGAGTTTTGACAGATCAATGTTTCAAATTAAAGTAATGCAAAGCTCTGAATTTACACAAGCTTTTGTCATTGCTGTCAAACATAACTTCATAAGCTGATGTGCAAGTCAGTGGCATAACCAGAGTTGGTAGTTGGTGGGTGGTCAGTACACCTGAGCAAACATTAAAAAAAATAATAATAATAAACTAATTGAAATAAATGTCTGCAAGTTGCTTCAGACCTGAGACATTCACAATCAATTTTTGGTAAAGTCAATGCCATTGATATATGCTCCATGCCTAGTTCTACGCCTTGTATAAAGTTAAGTGGGTGTAATATTTTTATTCAGCACCCTGCTTTTCAAAATCCAGGATACGCTACCACACGTCAGTTAAAATCCTGTTCACATTTGTCCGCATTATTTTTTTTTCTAGTTCCAAGTTGAAGGTACATTACAAAGCCTTATGAATGAGAATAGCATCGACTACATAGCCAAGTTCGCGGATCTGGCTGCCCACATCGAAGAGAGCATTGATTTACCGGGTAACCTTGGTGTTAACGAAACAGTCGCTATGGAACCGGCAAAAGACGGCGTCCCCAAAGCACTGGACTTCAGTTCGGTAGACTTTGGTAGTGGTAAACTGAACAATGGGCTTAAATCTGTATCATAAACAAATTATATCTACACTTTATCAAAAATACATACCTTTATCATTTCTATTCTAAAATAAAGCAATATTTTGGCATTCATTTAAAGAAAGAGCATATTCAAAATACCTATCCTGAGTATAATATACATATTATAAAAGTCAGGCAGAGTGATATTTTGTAATTTTTGTAAACCAATTTTTTTATCTAATGGCCTGTCCAGACTATTATTTGTGAAATGCCTAATTAATATGGTTATATAGGTTCATCATGACTATATTATTTGGTAGTATACAAATATTGACTGCTCATGAGGGGAATGGTGAAATCAATTGTCCCGAGGTGATGTGGAGACCATAGCCTATTATTTTCCACATCATCGAGGGTGCTATAGATTTCAACATTTCTTGAATCCAGAGCAGTCAATATACCTTGTACTGTACATAGATTCTACGAGGCCTTAAAAAGGTAATGAAAAGAATACCCACCAAGTAGGCCTAAGCTTACTTCATAGGCCTAGGTGATCAAAGGGCTAATCTCTCTCAGCATCGTAGAGGTCACGTCGCTGTTTCCGTACATTGGCGGGTTGCGTGTCATAAATTGTAACCTTATATGTGGGACCTAGAGATTACTGTACATCGCAACAGGGCAAAAAAATACTATAATTTTTTCACCGGGAATTTATGAACTATCATTCAATCTACGTCATAGAAGTTATTACCTGCTTTTTAACAAATCTATGTATGCGGTATATAATATGAACTGTATTCTTTCCTTGAAAGTATATTATGTAACACAAAAAAGCCAACTATTGAACAATAGCCTGTAGGTCTTTATGCAGCCTTAGGGCTTTATTGTCATTACTTGTAATTGTATTGTTTTGCTCTTTACATTCTAGTGTGGTTATTTTAATGTTTTTTGTGTGCAATATAATATACTGTTATATAGAAACTAAATGTTGTTCCGAAAAAAATGTATATAATTTGTACAGATTTGTAGAAAGAATATAACTCTTTTCATCTAACATCACATATATGTAAAAAAAAATCATTTATCAATTTTTTTATGAATGCATATATTTGTTTTCTGTTTTTGCCGTTATATACTGTACTATCTTAGAAAAGGAAAAGGTTTTGTATTCCATCAGAAAACAATAACAAAACGTTGCATCTTTGTTCTTGATTTTACCTTCTACGGAAATCTGTATTACAGCCATTGTCACTGCCTCAAACGTCCAGGAAAAAAATATTGCGCCCAAGCAACTGCTCATACAAAAAAGTGAATTAAAGAAGATCTATAAATCAATCAGTCGGGTGTTTCTAGAGTTTCTCATCAAAGCTAATGGCCCTAATGGCCACCCATACGAAAAGAGAATGAAAAAAGATCAATCAGCCGGGTATTTTTAGAGCTCCTCATTGGAGTTAAAAATTATACAAATGGCTATTCTATTTTGATGGATACAATGGGAATCACATCTAAAATTTCAAGGTAAATTTTATCGTCATTGTGTAAAAGATCTTTCAAAACTCAAATTTTATGACAAATTTTGTATGATTTGCCCATGTATGATCATGATGATGTCATATCGAACTCGTGTACAAATAATGGCAAATATTTGTCACTTAAAACTTTACAGTGTGTGGACAGAATTTAAGGTTGTGTAACCTCCATAATTTAGCTTTGTGTGTGTATTCTAGTATTCACCAGAGAAGTGATTTAATAATTTGGCAGGCTTGAGCTTAGCAAACAGAAGAAGTAGTTAACACAACTCACAAGCGCAAACAGGGTATTATATTAAAAACCTAGCTTGATTATGTATAGCAGATGCAAACCCCTCCCAACCAGTGTAATGTTTTTTGGAATTTATAATATATTGTGGACAGCCCAATATATCTTGCTTTTTTATTTAATTTCAAATCTACGAAGAACTGCTCTGTCATTTACAGTACACAATAAATATCTTTGTATGTTTCAGATTTTTTTTTTAATCTACGGAATCTACTGTACTGATGTGACTAAACATTTGAATTTAATATCAACGTATTCTAAAATTTATGAATTTCAAATACTTAAGCCAGTTTTACACTAGAATTATTTGTGCGAATTGTGTTCGCCGTGCATTTTTTTCACTTCGTAAAAAGTAGAAACAGTTTGAACTACTGATTTCGTTGAAGGTGGAAAACTCCCAATAGAAATGGTAATGCACATAAATGCACTTGAATGCATTTTTGATCTATCAAATCAAGGGGCCTCCTACCGATAAAATTCTTTAAACTTTCCCGATCATTTTTTTTTCCATGTAGATAAAATTATATAAGACCATGTATGACCAATAGCCAATGATTAGAATGATGTATCAAGGATGTTGACATTTTGAAAGTATTAAAGATATGGGTTCATCTCACATGAGATCCCAATATTTAAAACTAGTTGTAAAATCGCGATCAGAGATTTACACATCAATTTGGTATTTTTTTTTTTTACACATCAATTTGGTATTTATTTTTGTTTGTTTAAGCCCTGTGCTCACTACCAAAATTTTAAGTGACAATAAATGTGATGCTCAAATTTGTCACATACACTTGATAAGTGTGGATGGAGCAGAGAAATACATTTATTCATCTGTTTTGTGGATTTTGTAACCATTGAGGTGGTTTTTACAAAATAAATTTCTACAAGATAAACAAGACTTTCTGGTTTGATATTTCATTGACATGTCCTATTCATAACGTAAAACAGAGAAACCAAAATCTCGGATAAAGTGTATTACAGTTGAACTTGCCTAAGTCAAATAAAAAAAAATTTGAAAAACTGTTTTGACTTAGATATCATTATTTAATGAAAAAAAAAAACAATTTGGCATTTAAAGGAAAAGTCAACTTCGGCAATTTAACTGTACGAAATGCAAACAATCGTGATGGGATTCAATATTTCAACATTAATTATGTCTTCATCAGGATAAGAGAAAGAGTGATGTTCACATAAGTTACAGGTATGTTCACATAAATTACAGGGATGTTTGGTGCATGTTCAGTGAGGAAGCTACGACAGGCCTGCATATATTATTCTAACTTATACAGTATTATTGTTTATGCGCAAGCTTTCCAATGCTCGCATCCAAATTTTGATACTTGGTGGGTGTGCAAATTATAAGAATAAATAATACTTTGTTTCCTCAGCGAATTTCCAGTGGCATTCCTCCCTCCCACTTGCTATGCCACTGTAAATGGGCTCATATAGTTGAGGCTTGAACAATATACAGTAATTCACTTTGTATATTTTAATAAGTTAATAAATAGCTTATGAGAATGTTTTCCTTGCTACACACAAGGCACAAACACATAAATACTGTATTACCATACCATATTCATAGACCATGGAATTGGCTAGTAATAAATTCAGGGCCTATATTGCATGGTGGAATGATATAGATGGTATCGCACAACATTAAAAAAAAAACACAACAAACAAAATAATACACACAAGCATTCACACAGAAATGAAAGTATAAAGTATTTACAATCATGTTTCATTATAAATAAATTCCAGGATGTCTATGTTTAAAATATGCATACAACAATTATGAAGAATTTGATTATAATAAAAGGCTGTTACTTGACTCAAGTCTGTGGAGTTTGCAACAGACTGTACTATTATTTGAGGGTAATTAACTATGCTTATTCTGAATCATTGTTGCAGAACTAATTATAAATTCACTCTAGATTATTAATTTGTGCGCAGAGATGTATTTTGGAATAACACATCATCTGCTACCCAGCACAAAAAAAAAAGAAGAAATTTGTGTGGTATGGCTCGGTAAATTTATTTGTACAGTATTAAATCAATACTACAATTGTAATGCGTACAATCACCCACAACCATATACAGTAAACAGTACTTAGCTGAATCAGGGCACCCCTGCCATATACAGTCATGATGTACCTATATATGGTCATGATGTGATGTCATCATGACCATATATAGGCACATCATGGCTATATATGAGCATACAAGAGTTTGATAGCCTGAACAGGACTTTAAATCGTCCTCGATCCTAAATCATATTGATAAAATATTGACATTAATTATAATATTGATATGATGTTAAACCTGTCAAAAATATGAAATTTTAATTGACAAAAACATGTGACATGCCTATGGTCATGACATCATCATATCATTGCCATATAGGCACATCATGACTATATATAGTCACATCATGGCTATATATGGGCACATCATGACTATATATAAGCACATCATGACTATATATGGGCATACAACAGTTTGATAGTCTGAACAGATTATTCATCTAGATCACTATCATCATCGTCAATTCCTCCTCTGATTGTTTTATTAGCTTTCTTTTGCTTTAAGATGTTGTTGGTTTTTCCGTCCTCTCCTAATGGTGGGTCCTGAAGGTTTCCGCTGTAGTTGATGATGTCAGCACAGCCTAGTCTCCACTCCAGCATCTCGGTGGGGAAGTCATCTCTGCCTCCAAGGTCTTGAAATCTAAGATGATAATAAAAAATAAATTATAATATCTGGAATAAAATTAAAATATATCTACTGTATATTGAAGAAAATTAAACTAGATAGGAAGTGCTATACTACAAGCTTGCAGAATTACGGGAGAAAAACAGCTTGCCATATCATCCTTGGCAGGAATTTTACTTCATACGAAGATGCCTTAGGACTTTGCGATCTTGATTTACTTTCGGTGAGGAGGATAGCCCACTGTCATAAGATCGTCAAGGGTCTGTCCTCAACAGCCCACTCATTTGATTTTATTCAACCAACTAATTTCCAAAATCAGAATAGAAATCTTCGAAATGCTAATAATATTTTTATTTTTTATTCATTCAGGTATAAAAGAATATACAAACTGCAGCCAAATGGTGAAATGAATGTATTTACAAAAATAGAATATATTAAAAAATGCAAGAATATTAAATGTATTAAATTGTATATATACAAAATTACAACAAAGAAAGGACAAAACACAGGTTTGAAGTTTCTCATGATATGCATTGCATTGTGAAATTATTGTATGTTATATACACAAAAGAAAACTGAAGTTTAATATCTTAAACAAATTGTATGATCTTTGTCCCTGTCTCTTATACACATCTAGATGTGTATAAGAGACAGATATATATGTGACATTTTTATGTACTGAATTTGTGTTTTTTTTTTGTTTTAATGTTTTCCATATTTATAGGCTGTTTTTTCCCCTTTTTAAAGGTTTTTATAGTATTTTGAAAGCGTTAGACTCGCATACAATTTGGCCTTAGGGCCACGACTTGCGACCCATCTTAATGTAAGTTGATCCTTGAATAAAAGTGAAATGAAAATGAACGAGACCATGCTAGTCTCTGGTGAACTCCTAGGGATTAAGTGTGGCTACTCACCCAACAATATAATCCGTAGTTTTTCCATCTTTGATTATTGCAATTGTTGGCAGAGTCTTGATCCGGAGTCTCTCCGCAAGGAATGGTGCTTTTTCAGCATTGATCTTCAGAAACCTAGTCTCTATATGTTTCGGAGCTAGGATGGAAAGATGTTTATCAATTATTTTACACCTAAATGTGCTGTCCCGATAAAAATGACATAAAGCTTTAGCACTTTTTTTGCACTCTGTAAAGAACTCTTTTTCTCCTGGCACTTCAGTGTAAATGCCGTGTCCATTCGCTAGCCAGGTTTTCCTCTGTTCCTCGAGTTTCTTCATTCCTTCTAATCGACGTCTACGTATACTCTCCAGGTCGTCTTGGTCCAGGTGGTCGATCCTTTCGATCTCTGCATCGACTTGACTTTCTATTATTTTTGTGGCTTCTAAAACCTGTTGCTGCACAACAGGATTCATGTTGTAGTTATATATCTGTGGACATAAATAACAATATCGTGACAGCAAATTAAGGAGTAGGAATATATTTAGTCACACCTTATTTTGATATTTATCTCTTTAAACTTATTTTTTCATTGTGATGCGCATAGAGATCATGACAATATGCGCCTGGTAAGTCGACCATTATTATTATTATTATCACCAATTATTGTAAATTTACTGTAAAGTTTTTTAATTGCGCAGATAATACCTCAAAAACCATCTCAAATTGTGCAGAATATCACTAGAAAATACTGTACATGCGCTGATCTGTAAATACTGACTATTACATTGTTTATATATTAAGATAGGTCAAAGCCTAATTTTCAGCAAAAATCTACACGGAAATCGGCCCTTATTTTCCAAAATGTGCAGACAAATTTCTAGGCCAAATTTTTTAGCGGAGGATATATTTCTAGTGCAGGCCTTATATTATATCAGTCTGCACCTACCTAAATTGTGCATTTATTTGAAGGTACTGTACTACTAGGCCTAGCACAAAATAAAAGGCGCATCACTGTTATTGCCCGGATTGGTACAACCACAGTAGCTAGCCCTATGTTTGTGGGTATATTGGAGAGGGGTTGGGGACTAGCCTATGCCTAGTAGAAGCAGATGGAGAGGGGCTGAAGTGGAGGGTTGGGTTGTTGTGATTGTAATCTTTTTATTGTTGTTGGCTAAAAATAGGCCAACAAGAATTTGTTTTAATTATTATTTATTACTACTTCTTTTATTAATTAAATTCCTAAACTCAAACATACATGAAATGAGTTTGATCTAGGCCTAATCTTAATATACTTAAGCTTAGCATTGGCCAAGAGTGACTACGATGACGACAGCAGTTTAGGCTAGGCCTATTTTACTTAATTAGGCTAGGCCTACTATCAAGCATTTGAAGGCTTGCAATATCAAATCAAATAGAGTAGCTAGAGCTCCGCTGTGATAGATAGCAACAAGCATGCAGGGCCTAGGCTAGGCCTAGTTCAGTTAGCTGTCGCAGCACTACTACTAGGCCCTAGGCCTACATACACACCTGACATTAGTACAGGCCTAAATAAATCAATACTACTATGTGAACATAGGTTTCAATGGCATTAAATAATTATTACCTGATTAATTAAATTCAATTTAGCAGACAGAACAAGAGTAACCAACCGTTTAGAATTCCAGATAAACCAGCTTCTTTAGTAAGCTATGCATATTCATTTTGGTTGGGCGGTAACGCACAAGGAGGCCATTTTCATTGGACAAAAACACAACATACTCAAGAGGTAAGACCAAAACAAGTTTGGCTGAGGTATCTGCAATAGCGTCCCAAAATAAGATTCTACAGTATTAGTCGGCTATTATTTTTTGGCAAACACATTTTTCTTCCAAGATGAAGCCTAAACTACTTGTACTATTAATAATAATAATTTAAAAAAATCACCCTAACATCTGGTATGAGAGAAGGGTGCTATATGCCGATACCAATAACTGTAACGTGGTATTCGTAAAGCGTGAAAACCCTAAAATATTATAATTAGAAAATCAGAATTTTATTTTTGTAAGAATGATAAATTTGTGAATGGATTAGTGTCTTGTGAATTCGGGGAAACTAGAATAAACGCAAACGAAAATATAACGATTGCATACGTTGACATAATTGGAGACATAAAATTGATTCAACACAAATATTTCTGACACGCTTGTGTCCATCCTCCAAATATTCGTGTTGAATAAATTTCTATTATGTCAACCTACGCAATCGTTGTATTTTCGTTTGCGTTTATTCTTGTATATTTCTGTGAGACATATGTGGATCATATATATATATATATAATTTTGGCCTTCCTGTTTACTTGTTTAGACTGTTTATTCTAATCCCACCTAGCCTAACCTATT